CACGCAAACAGGACATGTGGCGCAGGCGCATCCTTCCCAAGAGTGGCCCCATTCCCCGAACACACTCCGATTGGTCTGTCAGGTTCCTCTCTTCCCTTCTTCGTTTCACCTTCTCCACATCCCATAACATCTCCTTCCGTACATGTCACCGTCAGTTCCCCAGCCAACATCCTGCCTCGAGTGTGTTGCAGGGCATCCATTACGTCGGAGCAACTGCTCAGCAGAGTCGCGATTTTTGCAGGAAGCTCGTCATTAACAGACCTGACACGCACTTCACTCAGACCGTACTCGTCAACAGTTTCTATACAGTGGCAAATGCAGTCCTCGGCGAAGGCTAAGAGGTCAACGACGCTGCGTATCGTCGTAGGTAGCGAACCTGTGTTGTAATCTTGGGAATCGTACGATGCCCACCCCTCCTTGACCACACACTTTCCGCAGCTGGCAAGAGACATGACATCCCCTCCGTCTGATTCCCTGTTTGTTGTCTTCGTGACATGGGCGGAGAACCGCTTCAAGACGGCGGTGCACCTTTCCCTTTCAATATCCAGCCATGCCTGAAACTCGTCGAACGTTGTGTTCTTCGTTTCAGCAATTGCCTGAAGTCTGGCTGACATGTCCTCCCTCAGACGAGTAACGTCTAGTATATCTTTTGGGTTGTCAAGCAACAACCAGAACACGGTGAACATCCTGTGCTCCGCGGTTTTCGTCATTTCGTCGAGAAGCGACTTGACGCGGCGTAGTTCGTCTGACATCTCTCTGAGCAGTACTTTCTGCTTATGCACCTCCTCTGTTAGCCTGCCTATATGTTCTCGGTCGCTAACTACAGTCCGACCCCTGTTTCGATCCGTTTCAGGTGTATTGTGGTCCTTGCCGCCTGGGGGAAGGAAGTCATCCATCCTTGCATGACACTCTCCGCCCAGCTTCCTTTTCTGCCCGGTCGTGGTGAACGTTGACATCTGGAGAGGAGTGTATACACAGACAAATACGTGGACACAGCAAGAGAGAGAGAGAGAGAGAGAGAGAGAGAGAGAGAGAGAGAGAGGGAGCCTCACGGCAGTTGCAGCACCATGTGGCCCCTCAGAAGTATGGATATCGTGTGAATTGGCTGCCAGGATGTCTGCATCATGCAACAGTTGATGGCAAGGTGACCACGGCGGCCAAACTGCAGACAGGCCATTGGCTGCCCTTGGGGTGGATGCATGCAGGCATGGTGGAGCAGTGGCAGTTCCTGGTGGTACTGGCACGTGTGTCCATTTTCAATGCAGATGTGAAGGAGCACGTTCTGGTTGTGGAGCATGCAAAGCGGTGYTGGGAGAAGATAAGGGAGGAGGACCGTCAGATGKTGTGCATGGGTTACGACTCCATGCCAGAGCAGGGGATGTGKTYCATGGTTGAGGGGAGTCCTGGTGGGCAAGGGCAGGGCGATGGGGAGAACATGTACATGGCTCACATCCGCCGCAGGCATGGATGCTCCGCCCATGTTGGTTGGGTCCCGCCCGTATGTCGCCTGACATATGAGCAAGGTGGAGAGATGACGATTAGGTTCAAGGACCCGCTTGGTTTGCCGTTTCTGCTGATGTACTCGGATGGCCTCCTGCGAGACATTCGGTAAATGGTGCACGAGGACACCCAAGGTGGACTTCAGAGGCCGGGACAGACAGAGGAGACGCGCCTGGGGCATCAAGGTGGTTTATCTGCTGAGGTGGAGGGCCCACGTGGCAGTGAGCGAGTTGCAGGGTGCTCTGCAGCGCAGGCTGACGTGGCCGGGCCCAACAACACTGCGATGTCCCACAGCCCGAGGAAGGTGAAGGGGGTTGTGTCGAGGCCACAAAGGGGGAAGCCGGCTGGTGACAAGCGAAAGAAGAACCCCCAGCCWGAGCCACAGACCGGTGGCAATGCAGATGCGCCTCGCCGGGTCCAGAGACGCCGCAGACACCCCGGGATGGCAGCTCTGACAGAGATCAGGAGGCTGCAGCGATCCACCGACCTTTGTATCCCTTTCA